ACAATAAATCTGAAGAAGAAGAAATCAAAAAAACCATCCCTTTTTTTATTGAAACAAAAAAAATCAAATATTTGGGAATAAATCTAACAAAAGAGGTAAAGGACCTATACAAAGAAAACTATAAAACACTGTTAAAAGAAATAGAAGAAGACACAAAGAAATGGAAAGACATCCCCTGCTCATGGATTGGAAGAATAAACATTATTAAAATGGCCATCCTACCAAAAGCAATATACAGATTCAATGCTATTCCAATCAAAATTTCAATGGCATTCTTCAAAGAAATAGAACAATTATTGATGAAATTCATATGGAATCACAAAAAACCCCGAATAGCCAAAGCTCTCCTGAAAAAAAAAGAAGGGAATGGAGGCATCACACTCCCAGACTTCAAACTATACTACAAAGCCATAATCATGAAAACTGCATGGTATTGGAACAAGAACAGACACACAGACCAATGGAATCAAATAGAAAATCCAGAAATAAACCCACAGATTTATGGTCAACTAATATTTGACAAAGGAGCAAAGACTATGCATTGGAGCAAAGAAAGTTTGTTCAATAAATGGTGCTGGGAAAACTGGGTCGCTACATGCAAAAGAATGAAGCTTGACCACTACCTCACACCATACACAAAAATCAACTCAAAATGGATTAAAGAACTAGACATAAGACCTGAAACCATAAAATATATAGAAGGAAATATAGGCGAAACACTACGTGATTTGCACATCAAGACATCTTTACAGACACATCACCCAAAGCACTGATAGTGAAGGCAAAGATAAACAGCTGGGACTACATCAAATTAAAGAGCTTCTGCACAGCAAAAGAGACAATAACCAAAACAAAGAGAAACCCCACCAACTGGGAGAACATTTTTGCACCCAACACTAATGATAAAGGACTGATCACAAAAATCTGCAAAGAGCTGATGAGACTCAACAACAACAAAGAAAATAATCCAGTCAAAAAATGGGCAGAAGAGCTAAAAAGAAACTTCTCTGAAGAGGAAATGCAAATGGCCAACAGGCATATGAAAAAATGTTCAACATCACTTGTCATCAGGGAAATGCAAATCAAAACTACCATGAGATACCATCTTACACCAGTGAGAATGGCACATATTAAAAAAACTAGCAACAACAAATGTTGGCGAGGGTGTGGAGAAAAAGGAACTCTTCTGCACTGTTGGTGGGAGTGCAAACTGGTCCAACCACTGTGGAGAGCTGTGTGGAGATTTCTGGACCTACTAAACATAGAGCTTCCATAGGATCCAGCAATTCCACTCCTAGGTATTTACCCAAAGGACACAGAAACATCAATTCCAAAGAACACCTGCACCCCTATGTTTATAGCAGCACTGTTTACAATAGCTAAGCTTTGGAAACAACCCAAATGCCCAAAAATAGATGAGTGGATCAAGAAGATGTGGTACATATATACCATGGAATATTACTCAGCATTCAAAAAAGATACACACATGCAATTTGCAGCAACATGGATGGCGCTGGAAGGGATCATGCTCAGCGAAATAAGCCAAAAAGAAAAAGAAAAATACCGGATGGTCTCACTCATAGCAGGAATCTAGAAAACTTAAATAAGGGACCAGGAAAATGAATAACTATAAGAAAGTGAAAATAAAAATCAACAAAAAACTATGAACCAGAGACACTTTTAGGGGGGCAGGGGTGGGAGGGGAGGGATTGGGGTCAGAATGGGGGGGCTGCAATTGTATGGGGAATATAAAAATAAAATTTATTATTAAAAAAAAAACCAAAAAAACAAAACAAAACAAAACAAACAACAACAAAAAAAAGATTTAACCTGCAGTCCCTCTCAGACTTATCTGCTCAAAAGAAGGAAGTCTACCCAGTCATTCTCAAAGGGAGAGGGCACAGTGAGGGGTTTAGACTCATTGGAGCTTTCTCTAAATAGAAATGCCTGCCCAGTTCCTAGGAGTATCAGGATATCAGAAGCTGGAGCTGTCTTGGTGCTCAGCTATCTTTCTGAACAAGAACTGGCTTTGAGAGGAATTGAGACAACAGGTAAATGGGTTGCTGCAGAAAAGGTAGATTTTTGTTACAATTCTAAGACTAACTATGCCCACTGTAACTACTGCAACTTCCTTTTAATTAATCTTCTTCCTTTAATTCATACTTAAACAATCTAACTCCCTGCACCAGAACTATTATAGTCATCCCAACCTTTCAACTTTAGAATATTAAAGGTCTGACAGATCAAAATTTTAGAGAAAACTGGTGACAGCTAGAAATATAGCCAAAGATTTTGTAACAGATTTTCCCCTAACCAACTTGCCAAACAAATGTGTGCTCTCCTTTCTTTTCCCCACCCCCATTTTTGTATGAAAATGATCAAATATTTGAGAAAATGTTACAATGAACATCTATAAACCACAGACCCTACCACTCCCATTTACCAGCCTTCTCTCATCTCTTCCCATCTATCAACCCACCATATTGGTTTGATACACTTCACCATGCATCACTAACTCGGGAGGACTGTTTCAATTTTTTAGTTTTTCAGTTAAAATTTTCATATGTAAAATCTTAAAGTGCACCATTGGCTGGGCTCTGACTGATACTGGCACAATGGAAAGTCCGATCAGGTGCTCACCCTTGGGCTCTTCCCCAGAGGAAAAGCACTGTTCTGGGATTTATTTTCCACCTAGATGAGTCCTAGTGGTTCTAGAAATTCATGTAAATCAAACCCACACAGTATTTGTGCTCTTTGGCATGTGGCTTCCTTTACTTAGCTGAATGTGCCTAAGACCCTCCAGGTGGTCAAGGTCGTTAGTTCTCTTTATTGCTGGTTAGTAGTTGGTTATGTGAACATACCACGGTTGGTTTATTCCATTATTGAACACCTGGGCTGCTACCAGTTTTCAGCTATTATGAATGAAACTGCTCCGAGTATTCTTATATATTTTTCCCTCATGGACAGACGTTTTCAAGTTCTCTTGGTTAAATACCTGTAGGGGCTTGGAATGGTTGGGCCATGGGTTAGTTTAGAAAAGAAACTGTGAAAACTTTTCCCAGAGTAGTTATGTACTATTTAACACTCCAGCAATGAATGAGAGTTCTCTTTTTTTCTATGGTCTGGTCATATTTGGTGTTTTCAGTCTTTAATTTTCTTCATCTGGGTACAAGGTATCTGTAGTATTAATTTTCATTCCTCTGATAACTAATGATGTTACCTGGCCATCATTCCTTGTGCTGATTGGCCATCCTGACCCTTCTGGAAATCAAATTGCATGTCAGTTTGTTTTTCTTTTTTCATCAATCATTCTTTCTCATCCTTCATATTGGAAAATTTGATCTACAAATTCAGTTACTTTTTCTTTTGTTCCCATGAGTCTACTATTATTTCCATAGAGTCAATTTTTAAAAATTTTTTTTTTATTTATGCATACAAGAGCTGGGGTGTAGGCCAGAGGTATAGGGGTTGAGAGGACTCACCAGAGACACAGTGGAGAGCAGAACAGTAGATATACTAAAATACATTGCTGAGGGGAGCAGCAGGCATGACAGGAGAGGGCTGCTGCACCATGTGGATCCCTGGCTGGGGATTGAACTCACGTTGCAGTGGCTGGCAGCAGCTTAATAGTGCTGTGTCTTTAACCCCTGTGCCGTAAGGGAGGCCCTCCATGGAGCTGATTTTTAAAAACTCATCTGCTGTATTTTTTCACTCCCAAATTTCCATTTAGTTCCTTATTTTAGGGTTTCTATTTTTTGCAGAGATTTCTTATCTATTTATTCATTGAGATCATAGTCTCCTTTACATCTCTAAACACAGCTGCTTTAAAATCCTTACCTCCCAATTCCAACAACTGGGTCATCTCAAAGCTAGTCTCGGTGGATGGTCTTATATATTGAGAATGAGTTCTTCTTCCAGTCTGGTTTGTGCCCTCCAATTAAATCTGGGATGTGAATGCTACATTGTGGAGACACGGGAGCTCTGTACTATATCCTCAAACAGTTGTTGATCTTTTCTTGGTTTTGGCAAGTAATTATTTGGGTTCAAACTGAAAACACTTAGTCCTTGGGCAGCATTTCAATTCTTACTTCAGTTCTTATAGCTTTAATTGGGTTGGCAGGAATGGAGTTTGACCATGCATATGTAGCTCAGGGGCCAACTAGAGATTTGAGGCTCTCCCTTCTCTGGAAATACCTCCCCCTCTTTGCTATAGCTGTGATTGTCCTGAAGCCTATTCTTCAAGACAGAAAGATGGCACGTATTCCAGGTCTGCCTTCAGGCTAAAATTGGCAGAAAGAGAAGAATTCATCCAAAGCCATTTCTTCCAGAATCACCAGCTAATGGCCACTGGTCATTCACCGGGAATCTAGGTTTTTTAGATTTAAAATGTGCACTCATTATTCAAAAACACAGTTGTTATCTGCAGGGACTTACCCTATGAGGGGCTTTCTCAGCATTATGGGAAGCAAAACTGCCAGTTCTTAAAACAACAATAACAACAACAACAACAACAACAAAAAAACACACTCACAAGGCCCCATATCACTGAGAGCTCACAGGAGCCACTGGCTAGATGCATCCTAAGGATCATCTGGATTATAGAAGTTACATTTGGTATTATAATTATGTAATTTAAACAACTACAAACATAAGCCAATGGAATATGCATGCAAAGAGACAGTTGACTGTCACTTCTACGCAAACTGCATCAAATGCTTTGGAAAAACATTCAGAGTAAGTTGCTAAACATTTCCTGTGAGATTGAAGGTGGTGAAGGCAAAAATTGAAAAGAAAAAAATATCAAAAGATTTTAGAAGGACACTGCATTCAGCTAATGTCATAAGAGTTGCCGAGGTTTTGCTCTACCCTAACACAGAGGAACTTTGGGACTTGTGGACAGGGCACCATGAGCACAGCTCATGGAACAGGAGACGCAGATCTCAATCTTATATGTTTTAAGTAAAAACAGAAGGCCAATGTGGCACTGAGAGATTAGGTACCTGTAACGCTCCATTTTTGCTGAAGGACGAGACACACTGCATCAGCCGACTCAGCTCTTCAGAAACTGCTTCCACCACCTTCGACAGGACCCGAGGCACCAGCTCTTTGGAAATAGTGAATACCTGATGGAAGGTGGAAAAGAAGATGAAATGATGTATTCTGGGAAACTGAATTTGTTAAAAACAAAGGGACTCACAAAATAAAATGACTCCCTGGTCTTCTAAGTCAAAATTTTAAAGGATCAGAATTATGAAAGGTAAAAACAGATTTCTACTTAAGTGTATTAACTGATCCATGACACAAAATAACCCTCTTTGAAAGATGCTGGCTGATACGACCCTGACAGGGACTGCTGATATTGGCCGGGTAAAACTAGTCTGAAAGACGACTTCTTGCACCATTCACAAGAAGAACTATAATTTATAAAGATGAAATTGCAGTATCAAAAACATACAATGAATGATCTAAATAAGGCAAAAATAAACTTTTAGACTGTAAGGCCAAATGAGTGGTTATTAGAAGGGAAGAGGGGCTGGAGGTGGGTAAATTGGGTAAAAGGGATCAAATGTAATATATAAATTTAATGTGGTAGATATCTACTGATTAAAATTGAGGCACCCCTAGAACTCATATCATGTTATAATACGTCACTTCAATAAAAATTATTTTTAAAATGCTATAAAAGTATTTTTTTTATAATTTAAAAAAACACACTGGATCAGACTCTCTTTAGAACAAAACATCCCCCCTGCCCCAACACACACACTGGCTACGTTATTCTAGACTGAATGAGAAAACAGTTTACCATTAGCTAAATTTATGTAAGCGGTTGAAAAGTCTCTGCATCAATCCCCCTGCCCCCCAACAACAGCAGTGTGCTTCGGCTACTGTCTGCTTCTGGCTCTGGTGAATCCCGCGCTTCTAAACCCAGTGCATGTATTTCAATCAATAAATAAATCTAAATAAATAAATATGTATTTCCTTCCATTTGACAGAAAACGTAATTTTCACATTTTGAATTTTGATATTTTTCAAACAAGCCATTACATTTGAAAATCTGGTGATTTGACTATTTGCTTTGTAAATGAAAGTCATATTTACTTTTTAGCTTTTCCTTATTTTGATTGATTCAAAACCTTGAAACCTTTGGGTCAACCCCAAATATAACCTGAGTGGTTCAAGGAAATTTTCATCAAGATCATGTGGGAACCAGTAAATCCAATGCAAATCATCTTGTGGTTATTGCTCATGGACACTGATCAGGGTGGGGTCCCCCCACCTTCCAACATGCTGTATATTCAGTTCCTCTGACTACCCCAGCACACCTCCCACAGAAATGTTATCACTGGTTGACACTTGATTTTATACTCTAATTTTACTGGAAACGGACCAAACAAGAAAGCATTTTTATATCTTTGATCAAAAATTATGACTGACAATATTATTTACTGGTTATAAAAAAATGTAGGTGATAAACCCCTGCCTGCGTTCAATCATATCAAATCTTTATTTTTATAGAGGAACTTAGATGCTTTTCTTTAGGAAGAAATGAAAATGATCATCTGTTCTATTTCTCCTGCTTGAGTTGCTTCATACTCGGAGCCAAATCCAGGGACAAGGGAATGTTCTCCTTTGTCCCGCTTTCATTTTAGCCTTAATCATTCACATTTTTTTTTTTTCCTTTCCCATTTACCTCAAAAGCCTGTCAATTTGGGAGGGAGGGGATTATAAACCTGGCTATACCTGTATCAGAAGGCCATGGCTGCAACAGGGCCTCAAGCAGCCGCAGAAGCGATCTAAAGGTAACCTCTTTGCTTGGTCCCCTTTCATCTGGTCGCTCATTAGTTGTGAGCCCTAGCACCCTGGTGGAGATGTGAGTAATGGCTCACGAAATTACAGAGAAGGTAGTCATAGTGGTAATGATGGGGGCAGCTGTGGTCTCTTCTTTCGATGTTCCCTAGAAGCGTCCTGCTCAGAAGCCTGTTCACGAAGCTTGTTACTGTGAAGTTTCGGGCAGGCTTGTCTTTGTGTGAACCACCATCTCCAAGTGCCTAAGTCAGACCCCCAGAGGAAACCACACACCTGCCCTTTCAGCCTGTCTTTCTAATAAGCACTGACTTTTCTAGAGTCCCAGGCATGGTGGATGGCTAAGTAAGACGCCAGGGCTTCTTTGTATAGTAAGCTGGAAGGAGGTTAGTGGATTTTCCAAGATAGAGGGTTCAACATGCCTGTCAGTCCCAGAGCAAAACAATCTCTCAATCTCTCTTCTATTTAATTTTCAAGTGTTAAAGCATTTAGTTCTAACTAGGGGAAAAATGAGACACGATTTCAGGAGAAGACTCTTATCACTAACAGTGCACATGCGTGAAAGTTGAGTTGTGTTTTATGTATACCCAGGATGCGTTCTCAAGGGGGAAAAAGACCACCACAAATAAAAGGCATCAGATTTGCCTTTTTCTTTTTTCCAGTTACCCATCTCTCTTAGGAACATCTAATGATAGCTTACCTCCGCATGTACAGCAATTATATTCACCAGTGCTTCTTTTAAATAGTTTCTAACACCTGAAATCAAAATGGGGGAGGGAAAAGGCATTTAGTAACGAGCTGCCTGTCTCCCCTGCCAGTATGACTCTGTTCTCCATGACTGCCAGGAGTTTGCAAAGGAGAAACAGAAAGTAACACCAACACTGTCTGTTTCCTTTTGAGGACCAAATGGTGAAAGGACTATTTTTTGGACAGGTTAAAAAAAGGTTAATTTAGGAGTTTTATCATTTTTTCCATTTCCATCACTGTGGAAGGCTGTATTGGCTGATCAGCTTCAAAACTGAAATTTCAAAATGTACTTCAGTTACATTATATATGTACATACATATTATACATTTAACATACATAGTCTTTGAAAACACATAGACACACTGACATTAATAGACAGAAAACCAGAGAACAGAAGGATATTTAATGAAGCTTACAGAACATTCTGAACATCTTATTTGCATAGGAAGAATTGTGAGGAATGACTACTTGGGTCTTAAAGAATGACTTCTGGGAGAAATCAACAAAACCACACTCAATCTGATTCTGGAATCCAAGTCAAAGATTGGAGTAGACCAAACATTTCAGGGAAGTTTGATGAGTGAGCATGAGTTCATTACTCAGGCAGGCACACAGGGTGGGGTCTCAGGTAATCTTGGTTCAAACTCCAATTACATTACTTACAAGTTGTGATTTTGGCAAGAAGACCATGAGCCCACATTTCTCTTCCTTATTTATTTATTTATTTTTAAGATTTATTTATCCATACAAGAGCTGGGGTGTAGGCCAGAGGTGCAGGGGGTGAGAGGATTCACCAGAGACAGAGTAGGGAGCAGAACAGGCAGATCCACTGGAATACACTGTTGAGGAGAACAGAGGGTGAGGCAGGAGAGGTCTGCTGCGCCATTTGGGTCATCTTCCTGGGCAGGGATCGAACTTGTGCTGTAGTAGCTGCGGGTTGCTTCATAGAACCCCTTGCACCACCAGGGAGGTCCCGTTTCTCTTCAATCAATGAGTTTCAGAGCTACAGCACCATTCTTGTGTGGCTGTCGTGGAAGTCAAGGGCAAAATATCCGGGAGTGCCTCCGGCACTTGGGGCTCCTAACAGCTTTCATTATCATTATTTAGCAAGGATTATTATTATTACTATTATTTTTGTAAAGATTTATTTATTTATGCATACAAGAGCTGGGGTACAGGCCAGAGGTGCAGAGGGTGAGAGAATTCACCAGAGACAGTGGGGAACAGAACAGGCAGATTGACTGAAATACACTGCTGAGGGGAGCAGTGGGTGAGCCAAGAGAGGTCTGCTGTGCCATGTGGGTAGCTCCCCAGCCAGGGCATCGAACTTGTGCTGCAGGGGCTGTGGATAGCATCACAGGTTGCGTCTTAACCCCTTGCACCACCAGGGAGGCCCAATTTTGTATGATTTTGCAAAAGTAAATGTAAAAACAGAGCCCTGCTTTATTTTACCTCCCAAAGAGTCATCCCAGCCCCATTATTCACTCGGAGCCCACACATACCTGCAAATGCCATTTAGGATTAACCGCGCACCCCAGGATCCCTTCTCTAGTGAAACCATGAATATGAACAGTGATGATGCTCAGGAGAAGAGTTCCCCATACTGTCACCCCAGTTGCTGATTATTTAGGTGTTGAGATAAAGGCCAAGAACTATCACCAACTATCTGAATAGGCATTTTGCAGATTCTGAACCTCTAACTAGCATCTGATTCTGTCATGTACGCTGATATCTAAGTAGGTACAAACACAGATAGATCTTTCTCTGGAAAAGTAGATTTTATTTATAGCTCTTCGGGGTATGAAGGTACTGGTGTTTTTCACTTTATTTTGTTGAAGGAATAACGGAGAGAGTCAACTGAAGAGTCATTTGATGTAATCCACAAATGGGTTGAGGGGCCTCCCTGGTGGACTAGAGGGTAAGTCTCAGTGCTATCACCCCTGCACCCTGAGCTCTGCCTTTTGAAAGTAATCATTTTTTCCCCCCTTCAATATCTGTGTCTTTTTGGTCCAAGCATTTTGTTTCTATTTATATTTAGATACTTTTTAAAAGACAAATGTTAGGGGGCCTCCCTGGTGGAGCAAGGGGTTAAGTCTCAGCACTATGAAGTTACCCGCAGCCACTGCAGCACGAGTTCAATCCCCAGCCAGGTAGGTGATCCACATGGATCAGCAGACCTCTCCTGATTTGCCTGCTGCTCCCCTCAGCAGTATATTTCAGTGGATCTGCTTATTCAGCTTCCCACTGTCTCTAATGAATACTCTCAACCCCCACACCTCTGGCCTACACCCCAGTTCTTCTACACAATAAATAAACCAATATTTAAAACAAACAAACAAAAAAACCAAACAAAACAGAAATGGGTTGAGTCTTCCTGAGAGGAGGACAAGTCCAGCCTGGGAGTCAGGAGAGTGTATCAGGAGACTGTTATAAGTGACAGTGAAATAAGCCAACTTGGGATTTGGGCCAGACCATCTCTCTCCCTGGAGGAGGAAAGTCTGACCACAGTCTGAGCAGGTTGTGACTCCGGCCCCCGGCCCTGGGTGGACAAGCCTCATCTCACTCACTGCTGCCTGGACAGTTGTCCTGTGTGAGTGCAGGGTGAAGGGAAGGGCATTCTGGATGAAAAGTCCATTTCACTCTTGGGGTTAAGAGCCTTTAAAATGCAGCCCTGTGGAAGACCAGCTCGCCCACACATACACACCTGACACGAGTCCAGCTACTAAAAATGCAAGTGCAATGTTGGGCCACAGATGCTCTTAGAATGAGAAACTTAACAGCCTCTTGAGAAACCAGGGTGCTGTGATGGTGCCCGGAGACACGTGTCAGCAGCCTGGGTCTGGCAGCGTCCCGGTATGATGCCTGAAAGTGTGAGGACAGCTTTGACCTTCTTCGGTTCTTCAGGGTTAAAGAGACAAGCAGGGCCAGAGTGCTGATTAAAAGCAGAAAATTAAACTTAGCATGAAGCAGGACTGTATCACACTCTCAGTGAACATGTGCTGTGAACTCCTGGATAGGAAAGGTACTTCCTCGCAAGGGCCCATCAGACTAAGGAGCCTTACATGACACAGCTCGTGCAGGTTAGGCATCGCACCCCTCGGCACCCTTCCAAAGACAGTGCTGCAGAGAGTAAGAATAAAAGCGCAGGACACTTTCACCCACTGGAAATATATTTCTGTTGATAGAAAATGTGAGAAAAAGAAGCTTCCTGTTTTAGGGCAACCACAGTGCTCATGAGGAAAATATATCAGCAGGAGCACAGAGCCTTAAGCTCGGACAAGTCAGAACCTGGTGCAATTTTTTCTCTTTTTTTGAGAGATTTTATTTTTATGAATAGAAAAGACAAATGAAATCATTGTCCCTCCCCCTCTGCCCCCAATACAAGTGATTGCTTCAAGGGGTATGTGGTGATGTTGGAAAAGGAGAAGGGAAAAATGTGTGGTCCCAGGGATGAACAGAAATAGCACTCCTAGTCAAACCACATGTCAGGTCAGGTAGGGTTCAGAGAGGAGGCCTTCACTCACATGCATCTGAGAAACATACAGGAGCTCGGGGTGGAGCTCAGCGAGGTGTCATCATAACCCCCAAAGGCATGCACCAGCTGGAGCTCGAACTCACCAGCAGCATAAGCTTTCAGTATAAACGAGTAGTCGCCTCTCTCCAAAAAACTACCCCCAGCGTTACATACAGATGTAAGGATTTTTTATTGCCTATTGGGTTGTATTATCCTTAGTTCTAAGGGAGTGGCTAAATGTCCTCATTCATTCATCTAATATGAATTTACTGAGACTTTACTCTGTGAAGGATGCTGCTGGGCTCCTATCAGAGGGAATATGTGTCAGGCCCTTCAAGAAGAACATGTACAGACCCCAGATGCGCCCAAGGCTCCAGAGTGCTTAGTTGTTCGATTCTACTCTAATTACTGCTATTCAAGCATGTGTCTAAGTTGTAAAAAACAAAGGGTAGGGAGCTCTGTGGAAGGGTTTGATATTGCCAAAAAGTCTTCATACTCTGATTTCAACTAATTTGTGAAACGCTGACTATCTCGGTCTCTGTCGTGAAGTTCTTGAAAAGCTGTTAAAGGAGAGTATTTGGGCAGAGAAAGTCAGGGCCCAGGGCTTGGATACAGCTGGCCTCTGTGACTGGGGACTGAGGTCTGAGGGTTCATAAACACGAAACAGATAAGATCTTGTGGTCTTCCTAGTTAAGAATTTCAATTTCTTTCTCTCTTCACCCCACTTGTCAGCCAGTGATTAGCCTAAGTTTGAGAACAAGCCAGCATCACACCCTGCCCTCTCCTGCCCACCCTCTGCCCCATGTCAGTGCAGGGGTTCACGCTCAGTCTTGCAGGTGTGATTCTCAATCACTAAACTCAGATAAACCCTCCGATTCAATACCCATTGAGTTTTCTGTTTCGAAATGTTGTTCCTAATCCAGCTGCAGGAGTTGTTCAGTGCTTTCAAAAATCCACACCACTAGGAGCCTGTAGGGTGGCAGGTACCGGATGTCCCTTGCTGGTGCCTCGGGGCACCCATGTCACCAGGCCCCAACTAAACACACTGGCGTCTGATAGCAATCCTCATTGTGGTGGCCAGAGTGGCTGGCTAGCTGTTTTCTGGGCAAAGGGATGGACATGGGACTCACACCAACAAAGCTGGAATTCACACACTCAGGGTTCAGAGAGAAGAGCTGTGGTTTCAGGCAGTGTCAAGGCAGGTCTCCCCGCTGATCTCACTGCGGGCTGAGCTGAGCTCTGCGGTCTCTTCCTTGATAGAAGGGGCGCAACATGGACAGCAAGAGGGTGGTGGGAAGAATGCCAAGAAAAATGCTGCCTGAGAAGGATCTGGAAGCTGTTAGAGAAGAACTGGGCCTGCTTTTTGTTATCAAGGTGGCTGAGTTCTGGTGGGGGAAGGAGAGCCAAGTGCAGATGGGGTTAAAGGGGACCCCATGATGAGGTTGGGGGACGTGACGATGAGGCCAGGGCTTGACTTTGGTTATTATTTCTGTAG